TTATAGAGTTGTTCTCTGGGTAAAAGAAAAGGTTTTCAGTTACAATCGCGATTTGCTTTAATTGCTCTCTACTTTAGGTATGTAACCTATCTTTTACGTTCTAGAATTCTCTTTTTGATATTTTTAATCTAAAATAATGAAGTCTCTATGGAAACTACCTATCATAAGTGTCGGAGTCTCAAGATATTTAGTTATAAAGTTAGCTACTTCATCATCAACAAACTTAAATCTATGCAGATCTAGGGACCAACTCTGTCGTTAATATTTATAGCATCTAAGCAAAACCTGGGAGAATTGTTTAAACTTTATAAATTCAGTAAATCTCAGGTAGCTTATTATTTGGACACTTAACTGATTAAATTATTTTAATAAGTTTTTTTTTAATATAATGGTCAGTGAGTTTTGAGTATTCTCGGCGGCGATGTATTCTGCATAAGTCCCGAGTATTGACGATGTTTGCAATTTTTATAGATTATCCGTCGCATAACAAATTTTAATTAACACATGTTTTAATTCTGTATTTTTAACTTAAGCACATATTGCGATACGACAAAGTTGAAATGCTTTCATGAATAATCTACATAATTTTTACGCTCAAAGTCCATAAAAATTAATCGAAGAAAAGGTCGCGTTGCTTGGTTGGGAAAAAATTATAATGTTTTAAATTTTTACTTCATATTCATAATTTAAAAAAATACTTGGTATTTACTTGGTTAATTAAGAAAATTTTGGTTACCTTCCTGACTTCTATGTACGGCCATATACTCTACAGACGGACAATGAACTTGACATACATAAAAACCCGTATACATGAGTATATGCTTAAAACCTACGAAAAAATCACCTCTCAGCCGGGGAATTAAGCATCAAAGGTTTTTTTAAATCGATGACTTACTTGTAATCATTGTATTCTTATTTTACATTCCGTTCCGTTGCTTATGCGGGTAACGATACATTTTTTTCATATGACATATGTATATTTTCTGGTAAATTAATGTTATGTGTTTTGTAATGAAACACGCTTGAGGTTGGCCATAGAAGTTTATTTTTTAGTAGATAAAGACAAGACGTGATTAAGTATGCCAAACAGGTAATAGATGTCGCCGCTATTTTGATATAAACTTTAACATTTTGTACAGTCAGGAAATCTTGCAGTGCTATAATAATCTTTTGACCATTTTCTGACGAGGAACACTAACCGCTAATAGGACACAGCGTTTAAATGTATTCGGACAAAAAAGGTCATTTATTTTACAGCTAATTGTTTTTTCTATTATGCCGTCCTTTGCGCAACTCACTGCTACCTAATTTACTATTGATAGAAGCGCAGTTTGTAAAGTTGGAAGGAACAAGGAATCTTATGTGTAAGTAGAACACTGCGGATTTTCGCGACTGTACATACATTCAACAGATGTCATTCGCTTTATTCAACGACTAGCTTTTGCGACCCGAAATTAAAAAGACCAAAAGTGAGTAGCCTATGTGTTCTTCCAGACTATCACCAACAGATGTAGTATAGACATACCAAATTTCATCGAAATCCGTTCAGCCGTTTAGGCTACAAACTGTAACAAACATCCATCCATACATCTAAACTTCCGCATTGATAATATTAGTATGATTTTCAGATATTTCTTCAAGATAAATTCTGAAAGGTTGTTCAAAACATCCTCATATGGCTCCCTTACAACCGATTTTATAGATTTCAATTTTCTGTTATGTAAGTTCTGATAATCTTGATATTATACCATATTTATAACCACCAGTTCGATCAGTTACGAAAGGTCAGCTCCTGAGTATGTTTTCCTCATGCTATATACCTGCAATAAGAATATACTCATATTTATCGAAGGCAGTCTTGTTAAGATAACTAGTTACCTTTTGTTTATCAATAAAAACTTATTTATTTTACGGTGGTTTTCGACTAGTGACACTTTTTTTTAAAATGTCAGTGGATTTTTGTTAATCTACTAATATTCCTTAAAAAGTATTGTGTCAGAATATGGTTCACAAAAAAGTCGAATTCCGGGATTCGAACACACAACTTGTACCCCAAATCATTAAGCTATTGGCGCTTCAGCTAGTTGTATTGGCATAATATATTGTTGTCCCTTAAATTTAGTTTGAAAAAACAGATACAAATAATACCAACCCATAGTTAAAACGACACCACTCTTATGTGGAAAGTTTGAAAATAGGGTTCCATAACATTAGCAGTGTTATTTTATAAATTTTTCTTAAATAAATCTTTACTGAAACACAATACTAGTGTCTGCCATTATGTCTAGTAATTTGTCCTTTTATTGTTCTTATTGATTCACTATTTTATAAAACAACAACCAACAGGAAAGAATGGCTTATGACTTGTTATAATTGACAGTATGCGGGAAAACCCAAGTCTGTAATGACTGTTTATTGAAATATCTTCAAGACTGGACGTTGAAAGGCTTGGCACAAATTATTAAAATAATAACGTTCCGTGATATTTTACGCGTAAGAAGCTCTAGTTTGTCCATATCGCTAATTGTGACCTTTGTATAAAATCGTACAAAGTACTCTGACAAGTCATTAATTAAATTTATGACTTGAGTCAGAGAAACATTAAACTTTTATACCCTTTTCCACTAGAACAGCTGCGCAACTCCCACGACTATGTCAGTCAGTCAGTCGTCAGCCTTTAACATCGAAAAAAACAACAATTAATAAAAGAATTTAGAAAAGGGCCATTGTCACTGTTAAACGTCTTGTTCATTAATATGTTTGCTACTGGGTATCCTTCTAAAAAAGTAAATAAAGTGTTTCAACAATTACGTTATTTATCATATCACTTAAGGTTATTACGCTTTTATAGGATTATAAACATTTAATCGTAATAAAAGAGGAAAAACCCAAGTGATTTTTTAATTAAGTTTATTTATAATACACTGACATCTACTATTAGTTATCCCTGTACATTATATTTGGGATCGCTTATGATATAATGGTTATTTTAGCGTAATAAAGCTTTATTTGCATTAACAATGTACCAGATTTACTTTTTCCATTGTTAATATATCTAAGAAAATGTATACGACTGGACTTCGAATAGAAAATTCTAGTGAAATATATTTTAAATTCCTTTGAAATAAAATTGTTAAAGCAGGTGTTGTGAGACAAACATTTTATAACAAAGATTATACATTTACGTGCTGAATCATAATCAATTGCGGTTTAGTCGCAATTCGCTCGTGATATAAATTTCATGATGCTAACGAAAGCGTGAGCTGCATCAGAATGTCTTTATGATTATTCTTTGACCACAATTCGTAATTATTACTATTTAATAATACGAAAAAAGGTTTATCGGCTGAGTACTGAAACGACATTTAAAATGCAACAACGCTGAAACTGACAATACTATTAAAGATTTAACACCTGTCCGAGCGGCGTTTAGGAAATGAATTATTTTAGATTATTTTCAGTATTAATCACAATACAATCCATATCGTAAATTTAATACGCCTACTTAGTATTGCATACCGTACAGCAAACTGTACATATAACTGCTATTATTGATCCTATCTCTTAACGGTTATGATTTCGGTTGCAAAGAATAAAACAATTTTTCTGTAAGTGTAACACCGCTGAAGGCGCTGACTGTACGTATGTTGTAATGACTAATTTTGGTCGTAATTGCATTGTAAACATTTTTTACCGAAATGTAGAAAAATGAATCCCCAAACGTTTATTATCATTCAGATTTATTTCGTATTCGATCCACATATTGTGTTTCATCTCAGCTGTTTCTCCTTAATTAGTAACTTCTTATTTTAGCTTCTAAAAAAACTTCAAATTTTATCAAAGTTGGTTACTAATGTTATTCTTATCTTTCGAATTTATCAATATAAATTGTTTGTACTTATATTTTTATTATTAACTCAAGTAGTCGGACATGAACATCTCTTACGGAATTGAGTCTGAGATTTAAGCTAAAACCACTTAGAAGAGATTATTTTTGGAAGTGCTTTTAACACGTCACATTGAATTTTCTACTAAGAAAAATCTTGTAAACTCGTTTGATTTATTATTGTTGACAAATCGCTAACTTCATTGCGTTAATTTATAAATCAGACTAGCTTTAGCCCGCGACTCCGTCCGCGCGGTATTTAACAAAAACAAAACTGAGTAGCCTATGTGTTCTTCCAGACTATCCTCTACATTTAAGCCAAATTTAATCGAAATCCATTAAGCCGTTTAGGCTAAAAATTCTACCAAACATCCATCCATCCCTCTATACTTTCGCATTTATAATATTTATATGATATGATTAGGCCTGTCATATCCCCATAGGTTTTAACTTAAAGTAACTTGAAAAGATTAAATTGGAGGTCTTTAATCTTTGGATAATTAAAATTTATTACTTTTTAAAGGTACTGGAAAAACAATCTTAAGTGGTTACTTAGTTAACACTTGTTAGGGACGGAAGGCGGAAGACCGCATTCTGTGGTAAGTAATGGAAGGCTAAAGAAGGCCTATATTTAGTAGTGGGAAGACGAAGGCTAATGATGATGGTTATTACTTCGTTATATGTCGATCTATCATATTAATATGCACTACTTTTAACTAAAAGGAATTAAATTATAATAGAAATAATTAACATTATTTGAATGCATATTCACGTTTGAATTTCAAAGAGTTTCATAACATTTGCATGAAGAATTTGTAGAACTCTGGTAACTGAGGTGAATTGAGAAATAGCCTTTACTTCGCTTCGTTAACTACTGAGCTGGATTTTACAAAAGCGAACCGTGTAGGAAGTCGAAAATGTTTCAAGTTTCAAATCGTTAGCAAGGAAAGTATTTTAAAAGCGTCAAATTGCTCAAAAGTCTGATTCAATTTTTATGGTAAGCTCTCTTAAGCTAATATAATAACTTAGATATCTTCTAAGTTATTTGGCGTATTTCCAATTTGTATGTAAACTAGTATATGCGTGCTTTTGTAATGAAATAATTAAATGCAAGTTTAAAAAAATATAAATCATTTATTAATAAATCTTATTTCCAAACAATAACTGATTAAAAATCCACTATTACTGGTATTTATATCACATTTTAATAATACTCATAAACATCTACAATGCTGAAAAATAACACTTGTCAATCTTTAATTGTACTCCGCCTTTTCATTGTTTCATTGAATTTCGTCAAACCAAGTGTCCAACGTTTTTCAATTTTTGTTACTAAACGAATTCTGGGCCACTGGGTAAGTTTGAGGGTTCTTTCTTAATTCGTCGTAAGCTTGAGCGTTGATGAACCAGAATGGTCTCTTATCCAACGGCATTTGATTCAGCCTATTTACCAGATTTCCATCACCCCTAGCTTCTATTGGACCCTCATTTTCTCCAAAACGATTGAGGAGAAGACTGTTAGTTTCTGTTTCGGGATATCCGATTGGTCTGGAACCAGCGTAAAATGGCCTTTGAGCTTCACTTGCGATGATGACACCAAGGAGTACGAAGATCTTGATGGAATGCATGTCTGAAATATAAATATAGGCTTTAGATGTTTGGTGTTCTTTTTACCCTGTGACAGTAAACCTCGACATCTTAATTGGCAAGATCGATTTTAAACAGTTAAGATTTGTATTCTTCCCCAACATGTCTCATGAATACAATCAGTCAAATTTAACTGTAGCTTGAATAAGTCTTCGATTGTCATCTTATTTTTATAACTGGATATCACAAATAAAATCACTAAACTACATTGTACCTTGCAGTATTGTTTCTAATAGATTTTAAATGGCGAGAATAACCGTCTAGCTAAAACATAAATATTTACCTGTATTCGAAGTATAAATCAGTTGTTACTAATGGACGTCTGTTGTTAACGGACTGCCTTCAAGTTGTGTGAGCCTGAATGCACGGTGTTACTATAAATACAAATATCCGGCACTCCTCACCTGAAGGTACAACGTAGTGACATAGACCTAAGGAACCACAGACATGCCACGAAATTATTATAAAAATTAAGTGACTTTTCTTGTATATTATTACATCGATTTGGACTAGTTAGAACCTAAAATTACAAACTGTTTGAAATTAAATAAGGAAAATATGTTATAAAAATATGCTACAACTAAAAAGTGATACAAGTATTTTGATTATAACGAATAAAATGATAATAAGGTTCATTTATTATCTGTTATATTTATAATTTCTACAACTAACTACTAACTTTATCGCATTGACCTAATAACATTTCATAAAAAGTCCACTCTAGTAGATTGTTATTGCGACGTAAAATCCCACTCGCGAGAGGATAACCTTCCGCGGGAATCATCGTTCCGGTTAGTGACGTAAGAAGTTGCACGTAAAGCTCGCTTAAAGGCTTGCATTTGTTGTTAAAATTCTAGACCCACCTCAGGCGGTTTTTTATTTTCCAAATATTTCGATTAGTCATTTTTAGTTAGGGGAGTTTCTACCCGATTTTACGTATTCATGTCAAGCTTTAAAAAGGTTAACATATTTTATTGCATAAATAGATTGTGTAGTAACTTACTTACACTAAATTAGGATATAACTAAGGGTAATTTAATAATGAAAATAAAGTATAAACTTTAAACTCATTCCTCTGCAATCTTAGGTCGAATTGACAAGTTCAAAGCCTATGTCAATTCATTCTATACGTAGTTCTATATTGTAGTTCAGTAATCCATCTCCCGTCCCTCTTGGAAAGCTGACACTTATGTGGACGCACCTCACTTCCTGTAACCTAGCAAATATATGTTTATCAAAGCGCTAAATACAAGAAGATTACTTTCCATCGATGTGACAAAATCGTATGTGCTCTACGGGAGGGTAGGACGTCGCCCACGCCTTTTTGTAATACCAGGTGATAGTTCCTAAGATGGTTTTTCTTTCAACTTTAGTTAAATGTTATTTTATTTGTATTAACATACGAAACCATTGGAGGTTTTCTGCTTACGTCATAGGGAAGGAGACCTTCGTCCAGCATTGCATGGCATTTTGTTATCGTGACATGCGTCATAAGAAGAACATTAAAGAATATGAGTCACATACATTTGCAGTCAAGATGATACATTTTTAGCGAAGACAAAATAGAAATATCGATTCCCTTCTAGGTTTTTACGATTGTTAAGAACTTTGACATCAAACGCTTTTTTTGTCAAATAGATATTTTACAGGGGTCTTATAGAAGTTGGAATGGCATTTAACATTTGATTTTGACGATAGTCAAACTGTTTCTTTTTTAAATGTATCAAAATCCAGCAAGTTATTTTTCAAGTGAGATTTGTTTTCAGTCGCAGTTAATAAATGATATTTACGATCGATCCCATAATTGTTTTTATTACGTTAAAACTAGAAGTAATGTTAGCAGTAGACATAATACTTGACTTACTCAAATTTCAATGTGTAGATGGCCAAATTGTAGAAAATCATTTTGAAAATAAATCATGTCCATATCCAAAAAACCATTGTCTATTCTCATTTTTTTGCTACTCCTTGTTTTGTTTAGGTGCAGACTAAGTCCGATTAGCTTAACTGTTGTTTCAAAATCATTATTCATAATTGGCTGTTTCTTTTTTATGCGTCAATGATACCACAGCTATAGCACAAAAAGATGCTACAATTTCAACTCATACTCGTATATTGGTTTCGTTATGATGTATTTTTTTTCTTACTTGGCAAAACGATAACTGGTTAATAAATATACCCGAAAATTGTGTACTTCTTTTAATCTACTACTACCACTACTACCAATATTTAATTTATTCTTGTACCAGCTTTTGGCCTCATTTGAACTAGATCCGTTGAGCAGTATAGGCGGCAAACTCTAACAAACATCCATCCATCTAAATATTTTCATTTATAATGTCAGTAAGATTTTTTTTGTAATAATATAACTCTATACATTAATTGAACTACTTATTCTGATAATGCTAATAGTTTAATATTTTGTTTAATTAAACTATTTATCACACTTGCATACAAACCTAAACAATAACCAAAGTTGTTGCAGAAACGGTAGCAAGTAAATATAAGACCCTACTCAGAAGTTTAAAATTAAACTAAAGTCCTGTCCCACCACTGGCTGATAACACTCAGGGAGCTTAAAAGTGACGTCACTGTCAGATAAAGTAACAAAATCCGATATTTCCATAACATATTTTACACTTCGGATTGTTATCAGTTTACAAATTGGTGGGACAGGCCCTTAGACTCATAAAAAAACTACTATGTCGTCTTGTTTAAATCGAACAAGATCCCTGATATGTCAAATTGATTTATTATTATTGAACAAATAATTACTAGCAAACAACTGTAAATTATTTATTGCTTGTTCTTAATACATTAATGAGATCCTATACAACAATAAAGTTTTATCGCAATGTTATTGAAAATGTTGGCTATAGAACTGTGGTGTTGTGGTCAATGACGTCATTTTATTTTTATTATCTGCCTTTGTGCACAACAATGAAGAGCAATTTGAATCCAAAGTGTCACTGACCGACAGCCAGGAACGAATAGTGTAGAAAGAGACATTTAACGGATATAAATAGACAGGACTTCACAAAACTTTACCACTTGATTGAATCTTATTTGAATTTTTGTCATAAATAGTGCTTCTGGTTATAAGGCTTAAAATATGACAAGGAAAGTATTCATAATGTCCACTCTATCATCATCTCCCTGGTCTTAACCCACTCATGTGGAATCGACGCATAAGGTTCTATAAAAACCTTTTTGTTTTGGCTTAATTTTTACGGCCCGCCGCCTGGATGTCGCCAACCCTATTTGGGTGATGTCCACTCTATAGTTGTTATTAACCCTTTGTTAATATATGAATAGGGTGATAAAATACAAAAAATGTTATAAAAAAGTTATGTTTATTCGCATAAAAGTACTCGTACAATAACAATTTAAATCTAAAACATTATCGAAATGAACATTAAATATTTTTTGGCTTCGTTCCTAAATCTAAATAAATTTTAAAGTATACTTTTTAATACAATATTTTAACTTTATCATATTAAATAGACAGACACAAAGTTTCAAAAAGGATAATGAACTTATAATGTTAGTATCGTAAGATGTATACCTAATTTTGGTGTGAAAACATTATTTTAAGTTATTTAAAACAAATTACAAAAATTCATTGGTGTAAAAATAATAAGTGCAAAACAAATGCCATAACATTTTTATCAAAAAGTAAACAATCACTGGGCTGTACCTTTTGAGATCTTTACTTTCAGACACAATATAACTTATTAAATAATAAATGCGATTTCACATTTTTACTCAATAATTAAATCCTGTGAATGAATCCATTCTGGCTAATCGGCCACGTCTGTTGGCCTCTTCTCAAGTTGTCATAAGCACGCCAATTAATGTACCAAAAAGGTCGGTTATCTATGGGCATACTGTTGAATCTATTGATCAAATTCCGATCACCTCTCGCTTCGATCGGAGCATCAGCGTCTTCACCGAATCTATTTCCAAGCGCATTTCCTTCAACTTCTGGATAGCCTATCGGCCGAGAACCAGCGTAAAATGGTCTCTGAGCTTCGGTTGCAATAAATACTGCTACAATAAGTAGAACGAACTGTAAACCGGCCATCTGTAATAAAAACAAATATTAGATTACTGTTTTACTTACTGTAAAAATGTTGAGTGGTTTAAATTGGCTCCTGTTAAACATATTTTTTTGGAAGTTGATGAACTCATAAAGAAAAAACAAATTGGTATGTCTATGGTCGGCACTTTTATCTCGTGTACATTCATGTAATAGAAATAATAACGCCCATGACCTTTACCACTAAAACAAGTTTATTAAATCTATATATCGAACTTCGTTATCTTGCAAAAATAATTGCAGAAGATTGTTTATAATGTCAGTAAATAAACGTTAAATACAGGTTACAGAATAGCAATGGAAGCGACTATTAACTACGGATTTATAAAGCATAATTAAAAACGTAAATTAGATTTTTCATGCGATATTTTAAAACACTTAGAGGTCGTAAGGATCACATAAATGAAGATAGCATTTTTGGTTTTAATCGTTTAAAATTTTTAATTGATAAATTTTATTTACCTCTGTTTATGTATAAGTCAACTGAACGATGTTATGACTGGCTCTGTCTGCGAGACACGTCTGTGCTTTGGAACAGATTCGCTGGTACTATGTTTCCGAATGCGTCGAGTTACTATAAATACAAAACTCTTCTGCTTTGAGGAGGCGCGGCGTAAATTGCCACAGATGTTCAATCTGTTAGATAGGACTTTTTTTCTTTAATGGATTACAAAAAATTAAATCCCTAAGTATCGATTATCCGACATTTGATCTGAATGTTGATTATTTTTAAATTTTATTCTATTACATATTATCAAATTTCAACAATTGTACTAAACTCATGTTTATTTAAATTTAGGACTTATTACAATATTAAGTTTTAGTCACTCTGCATCAAGTTAGAATAATTATTAGTTATATTATTAGCGGTAGGAAATAACTTCCAATACCGTCTTAGTATACGTTCTGTAACATAGTATAGACTCGTGCTACTTTTGTATGTTGGCGAGTCTATTTCTTCTTACGTCGACGTATTTCCCCGCCGATTGTGGATACGTCACGCGGAGAGTCGCGCGGTCCTTTCCAACATCTGACGTAACGATATGTTTCTACATGTTAACCACGTTCAAGTTGCTACGTTTATCGTCATTGCCTTTGTAAAGTGTGTTTACTTTTTTTTATGATTTGATTCACCGTTAATTACTCATTGTAAATTAGACACATTTGACTTTCGAGTACTAGGTATTCTATTACATTTATGTTTGTCGCCGGCCTAAGATCTAGGATAGATCTAGCTAGAAGTTCAGCTACCAATAGTATGGTCTTATTCGAAGTATTAATTTTTTTCTATTTTACATTTTTGGAGTCTCTGGAACAGCTGTACCTCCATTTCTGCGTCCCCTCCTGCCACTTCCGCATGTATTTAAGCTAAAGAGAAAGAAGAAGAGAAGGCTTGGGAGGAGGGAGGCTCTTTAGATGAATGTGAATATAGAAGGACATTGGCCTAAGAAGAGATGTGATAGATTTAAAAAAAAAAGTCGTTTTAAAAGGCATATCTGATGTGATTGCAATTGATAGATCCATTTGGAATACAAGCTCATTCATAGTGCAGGATTAACGCATGAAGGAGATGACATATTTTTATGACAAATACACGCATTACTTAAGTCTTTATCTTCCCTACCTCATCCTACTCCCGTATCGCGCACCGGATTTTCGTCCTCCAAATAACTCTGTCATCCGTCATTTCAGTCATCATTCCCTTCTTGATCATGTCATTTTTCACGCAATCCCTCCATCTCTTTCTAAGTCTACCTCGACCGATGTACCCCTGCACATTCATAACTAACATCCTTTCTGTTACATACGATACATTAGTTAAGTATGAAAAATATTAACATCAAACGATTTATTATAAAGTTAATAAAAATTGACGATTCATCTTATCGCATGCTCAAGTGAGATTCAAGAGTGCCACTCGAATGCTTTAGGCCTCTTCATTAACCACTTAGTTAACCTAGATAAGCATTTTCTTTTGTATTTCAAGACCTTGTTAAGTGACCATGAAATTTGATTACTGGTGTTAAATGTTTCACATGCTATTTTGTATTTCTTTTGATATACATATGTTAGTTGTTTATGAACGATAATTTAACGTGATAGTGTCACAAGTAAATCGTGCCTCTCTTTCTCATGTTCCGCGCTCTCACTTGAACTCTTGTTACAGTCTGAACGTGAAAATGAGACATGCATTTTACGTGCAATCATCTAATCCGAAACTCTGAAAAATACAGATTGATTTAATCTTGTGTAGAGTACAAAATATTGCTATTAATTATTACATACTTCATCTTTTTAATATAATTTACTATCACAGAAATTTACCACACGTCATTGGCATATCCCCAATGTACCCACTATAAAAATAAGATGTTATCGAGTACTGAAATTCGAAATAAATAATTAAAATTGAAGGCAATAATTCTTATCTGCCAGTTAATAACCACAAATAATATGATACCTTAAATATATCAGTCGAATATATTTCTATTAACTGGAACATCTAAATTGTTATTTATTTTATGGTATTACGCACATGTTATGTCCTTATTATTAAGTCTGACAAATAATTAACACACAATTATAGAAAACCATATACATCCTGTTTTCATAAGAATATTGTAGACTCATTAGATGTGCTTTTAATTATAGTTATTTATAAATGTTTTGTGGTTTGGTTTAATTCTCTAGAATGCAAAGTTGTTGTTGTAATTCCGTGTTAAAGTAACTTAAGACGAGTTTCATTCCAAACAGATATAATCCTACGTATAACCTGCATATGTAGTATTTATACAAGTTTGATATCTAATTAAAAATCGATTTTATATTATGTTCATATTACATTATAAATTGCATCACTGAAAGCCTTATTTTAGCTAGATATCTAAAAGTTATTAACAACTTTTCCTTCACGTCTTCGAATAAATTTATCTCTTAGTTATGTCTGATTTTTCCTTATATCTTCCTAAAGTAAATAAATTTAAAGGTAATATATATATAATTTAATATTTCTCTAAGCGCGAAGGTGTTGCCGCCTCAAGATTGATCGGATATTACTTGCGGCTAGTTCATTCCGATGCAGCAAGTAACCGCAAATTCAGGGAATAACATGCAAAACGTAAATGCAGTCCTAGAAATAGACTAAATGAAAATATAAGCCAATTTGTTCTCTATCGATGTATAACAAGTTTACTAGTGTAAACATTTGTTTACATTAAAGTGATACAGGCGAAAGACAAATAAAATAGTAATCTATGGTTATTAATTTAAATCGGAAGTCTGCTGATATAGGTAAAAAAATCCAACACTGAATTTATACGGACCGATTATAATAAAGACGACACGAAACATGTTTTACTTTCTTGATATGAATTTATATTTTTTTTCCAACCAATTGGTGAGAATAATTTTCAAATAATCAATTTTTACACAACTTTTAATATTCACCTTACAAAATTATTCAATTACATTTCGGAAGCATAATTTAAGTTTTGCCGCACGTTAATGATCAGGCGTTATTCTATTAAAAGCAATCGAATATCAATTTTGCAGCAGAAATGGACTTAGTAATTCCGTGATATCTTTCAAATAAATATGTAATTTAATTTGTATTAGACAAAAAATTGATTGCTAGTAAATTTATGAATTAACCTTGCTTATAAAACCTTTTAACCTTGGTTGCTTCGAAATTAAATCGTACACCAATCTCTAGATACGCAGAAGGGACTATAAATTTTATTACACATCTGTCGAGTTTATCTAATGAATCAATCGGATATTGCCCATTTTATGAAGACGTATCATAAATTGTATGGAAATGGTCCTGTTCTGTTAGTATTTTACGACTATACTGTAACTAAATTTTAATTCAAAACAAGCGTTATTAATGTACGCACTTTTCATGTGGTAAGCCGTAAAGAATTATTATACGATTAATATTGATAAACGTTGAATGTGTTTTTATAAAAACATTACACTCATATTATAAATGTAAAAGTTTGGATGGATGTTTGTTACAGTTTGTAGCTTAAATAGCTGAACGGATCTTGATGAAATTTGGCATAGATTTAGAGGATAGTCTGGAGAACACATAGGCTACTTTCTTTTGTTTTTATTAAAACCAAGCGGACGGAGTCGCGGGCGAAATCTATTTCTTTAATAAAACAAATAAAATGTTGCCAACATCTATTTATTTGAAACGTATCTTTGGGAGACAATAAAACTTAATATCTAAACAATTATATGAATTAAATGTAAATTTAAAACAACTAAGAAACATTTATTTTAATAAAAACATTTATCTTAACATAAAAAGCTCTTTATATTTACAAAACAATGCCTTACTTACAATTGTCTTAATTTTTTTAAAGAAATATATTAGTACCCATTAAAATTACTTTCTATTTTTTTTTTACATTACACATAATTTAGCAAATTACTGCAAGACATTTATTTCTTAAATTACATCCAATGAGAAAGTCAATCAAATAAAAAATAAGCTGTATTCAATATACATTGTCGTAGCTACCTTATTAATTATACTAGGCAAGAATACAATGTGAGTTTCAAAGAATTACGTTGCCGAGTATAACGGGTTAGTTTTCATATTAGTACCATCTGTCTAAAACTTTTTAATACAAAATAACAAACTGCTCCTGATTTAACTAAAACTTAGGTAAAATACGTGATGTACGTACGTGTGTAAGATGTACTTAATAAGCAATTTTAGCTGTCATACCAATTTGATTAGGCATAAGTAAGGTAAATTTACATTAGGATTAAATAATTTATATTTTACATACGTATATTACAGGAAAAGTCTATTTAAGTTGGTCAAAAAAACAATTTACAAACATTTACTGCTGAACTTACATATAACTTCTTTTAAAGGTAAATTTATGAAAATACACTAAGGTACTTAGCGTCAGAGACTCTGAAGTTAGAGATTTAAATTATTATCTTAAAGTAAATTTTATAAAAATTGTCTTTATTATAGTAAATATAGGAGCCATTTTTTAAAATTATTATACGGTTACACCTACATTCTATCTGTTGATACATTTTTCGTTAAGATCGCATGTGAGAAAATCATTGGAATCTCTAATAGTCATTATGGTGACCCCGTCAGTGCTATTCCTTGTTATAATATTGTTTTTCTTCTTCGTGCTTCCGTAGTCATAGTTAGATATAACGACGCTCTCTGTCGGATTTCTGCAATAAAATTTGTATTAAGAGATTGCTAATTATCTACATCAGGCGTTAGCTATAATATTAAACAAATCAAAAATAATCATGGGGTTTGCTATAGGGCTGGAGAGTTTAGCTTCTAAAGACTTTTTGAACTTAGTAATCACTTTAATACTAATTCCAACTAAATAAAGCCGCAGGCAATATCTATTTTTAAGTAATCATTTTTCCTTACCTATTGCACCTATGTCTGTGTGTGCTCCTAAAAGAGGTTTCACAGATCGCGGTTCTGGAGAGACGGGAACTACAAGAAGGATGCAAGCTGCTTCGACGACAGCACAGGTAGCGATTGAAATGTTGTCTGAATACACCACTGACGCAATACAACGCTACCGGATTTACGCACGAATTCAGGAAACTGTGATCAAAATAATACAATTAATGAACATGATTCTAATATTATTTCTATGCCATTTAATTATAATTGTCGTTTTTCGCATTACACTGTTTTATAAAATAATTATTTTAATAAAACTATACTGTAAAAATGTAGCAATCAGTCGTTATATTTGTTAATATTGATTGAATGTAGGTGGTTACGAAGGTGAAGGAAGACCGAAGAAAGTATGGAAGGATTGTGTGAAAGAGGACCTGCTTAAGAAGGGAGTGGATTCAGATATGACGGATGATAGTACATACTGTGACATACTGTGACGACCATAGAGACAAGGGCAAGTTGATGATTTCTAACCAATATTGTTATATTTTTTTATTTATACGTGTCTCAGCTGGGATCTACGTTTTATGGTTGGTAATCGACATATCGGTAAATATTTCGTTATAGCCGATGTCCTATTGGTTTCTAATATAATCTTACTAATATTATAAATGCAAAAGTTTAGATGGATGAATGTATGTTTGTTAGAGTATGTAGCCTAAGCGGTTGAGCGGATCTCGATGAAATTTGGTACAGATGTAGAGTATAGTCTGAAAGAACATATAGAAGGTTACTCAATTTTTTTTTAAATGCTACAATATAAAACGAAAGCTAGTTAATTGTAATTAAATAATTTCGTTTTATAACTTTTACCTTAAACAAAATCCTATTATCCTCAATGCGTGCGTCCAATCGTTGTAGTCAAACTCTGCGGTCGGCGATAAATGGAACCACATCTCGAAAGCATGATACGGCAGGAAACAGACAAAAAACACTGAAAATAAAACCTTTTATAAAAGTTCAGAAAAACAACAGTATCAATGTATTATCCTAAAACATATGACGTCTCTCATATGTGCAGTGAAAACCGTATATTACTTACCAATAACAAAAATCAACACCATAAGAGCGACTGACTTTCTAGCCTTAGCCTGAGCTTCCCCCTGTCCCCCGTGCAATGCGCCAGGCATTTCTCTAGTACTTGCCAAGAGTCGTTGTGCCATTAGGGAGTAGAAAATTGCAATAACCAGCAAAGGTAAAGCATAGTATATTGTTGCTTTCGCTAATGTCATCCATCTGAAAAAAAAGTACAATTGAAAATATACGTCTGTTTAAAAAACAAACTGCAAAGCTCATTTATCGTTATCAACAACGAGCCCCTAAGTATTTTTAAAAAGGGGTCTATTTGGTTGAGGATCTCCCTACATCTAAACAATGAACATAGGTGACACCTAAATGTAAAAACCTAAATTCTAAGGGCCCCTAAATTCAAGGAATGTTTGATAAAAATGACCATCAGTTTTCAGTTGTTTTTATAAATTGCTCCATTGCAATAAATGTAAGTGCAAACAAATTAAAGCTTTATTTCTATGTACTATTGTTAAATTTACTTGGAATAATCCTTCCAGCCTTGAGGGTAAGGAGTGCAGTAGACAATGGTTATATTATTGTGTAGATGCGCAGTAACAGTGTTGGAGAACACGGCGGCTGGTGTGGCGAAGATAAGCGCCGCTGCCCAAATAAATGTGGCACATACAAGCGGCAGTTTCCTTAGCTGGAACAAATTGTAGACACTTTATTTTACTTATTTTCAACTTCTATAACGCATTTTGACTTTATAAGAAGCGTTAATGCAAAACGGATTATTTATTGATAACTAGATGTAGCTCGCGAATTCGTCCGCGTGATATAAAAATAACAACAAATTTAGCGTATGACACGCACTGATAACGTAGCTTTTTAGTGATGCAAGATTTTTTGAAATCGGTCTAGTAGTTTATTGTAGACTAGCTGTTGCTCGCGAATTCGCCCGCGTGAAATATGTAGACTATGTTACTTAGAAATAAATTACCTTTCTAACGGTGAAAGTATTATGAAAATTGCCCCAGGAGTTTCTGAGTTATTTCAATACATACAAAAATATAAATCTTTCCTCTTTATAATATTAGTATAGATGATGGCGTTTTACAAAATATAATAGCATCTAATAATATAACAATGAAACTTCCTAACACTTAAGTGTAAATTAACAAACCTCATTAGAAAGTTGTTCCTAAAGTGATTACCACCGAACATTCTTAAGTGAAAAACTTATTTATACCGCACTTAGTAATTCACACCAAACCAACAAAACGACCTCTTGGTTTTAATATGATACGAGCATATAAATTCATTTAAGTACTCGACAGGGAAAAATAAACTTATACAAGCACTCTTACTGGATAAATTAATTAACCTCATGTTAACTCATTAAATAAGCAATTAATATATTACACCAGGTACAGCAATTAACAGAATATTATTATATCTAGTTAAAACTGTATACAGACTATTACATGTTTAAAGACTGCTGACATCCCATAACAAAATTAAAACGTAGATAACAACCGCAAAAAATATTGCTTTCAGATCGAAATTTCGTTCAAACCGCTGGACGCTTTAGATGTTCAGTAAACGATTTTTTGTCAGCGATTTAATTCAATTTTTAGTCAGCACTGGGACCGAGTCTATGAATGTTTCGAAAAATATTAAATGTTAGTTATAAATTCGGCGATATTAATTACCTTTTTGTTAAACTGACAATAATTTATTAAAAAGTGTATTTTTTTTAATATTCAGATCAAATCCCAGTAGAAGAGATTGTATCTTAATTATTTTTTTATAGCTAGACTTCTAGACAATCCCAACGGTTCTTCATTGTTTTAGTTAGTCTTAATAAGAATGTATTTATTTTAAATGAAAGTTTCAAGGAAAAAGTCGTATAAATATACGACTTTTTCAATCGTCGCAAACATAAGTTAATTTTCATGGTATCAGTTGTCGAAAATCCGCTAGGTAACGCGCAACGCATGATACATATTTTGTTGTTACAACCAAAATCTGAATACCACAATCTAAAGCCTGGTCTTCTTACCTGGAGTTTCCTAAATGGATTGACGATAGCGCAGTAACGTTCAGCCGAGAGCGCAGTCAGGGTAAAGACTGACACACCGATGCTAATGTCTTTACCCGCTTCAGATATTCTACAGATAGCTTCACCCCAGGGCCAAGACTCCAGCGTGTAGATGATAGACACGAACGGCACGCAAATGAGTATGACAAGCAAATCCGCCAGAGCTAAGGAGAAAATGTACCTAAAAGTACAGAAACAGTTAAACATAAGCATTTTAAAGAGAACTCAGCGGTAGTTAACTAACTAGTATGGCGTATCAATCCAAAATCAACTTTGGCCTCTTACAATGAGAGTGTCTTTTCGCGGGACAAGCCACATCTACCCAGTACAAGACTTAGACCTCTGGCAGATCTCACTAGCCATAGGATGCCGGACTGGATGTCAGATCAAAGTTATTATAAAATAATATTGCTCTGGTCTTACGTATTCGGAGCATTCCGCATGCCTCTGTGCCTGATATAGACAATGACTAGGGTGCCGTTGCCCAGCACACCCACGATGAATATGATCGCAAATATTACTGGTACTAAATAAGTCTCCAATCTGTCTTCGTACGGTGTGTAGTCGCTGTCCGTAGAATTGTCCTCGTTAGTTAATGCTGACATGTTGCTTTGGTCGTCCATCTTGAAACCTATAAAAAATAATAAAATAAAATCTTGTAAATGTTACCGTTTGATTGTGAATTTAGTTTTAACTCCGATGAGGTATTGAAAACTGTTAGAAAATTGAGAGCACAAAATTGTCAAAGATGGTTAATGAAATAGAAGCTAAACTGTTACAAACTACAGTAGCATAAAATTGTATTAACTAGAAATGTACATACAAATTATTCGTGTCGTATTAAATTCTGCTTAATTAGAGTTGTTTCTGTAACATCTAACTCTAGCTTCTGTTTTAAAATTAAATCTAACTTTAGTTCCATTCACGTTATACTCTAATCCACTAGCGCAACTAGATGCGCGTGGCTATCAGGTATACTGACTAATGGGTGCTCGTATATTCACTTCACTTGCACAGTATTTACAAAATTAAGCAATTTTCACTAAACTATATTACATTTCTATTTTCATAGTAGCAAAATCTCTATGCAAATATCTTAAAACACGAAAAACGATGTCCAGATTCCACGATATAATTTCAAGCGTTAATTTTTGTAATGACGCTGTTCGATTGTTATATTTATTTTAACATCGATATTAGATGTCGTTTTGCGGTTCGGATGTCACGCCAGACGCGCACTTGCCGTGTGCGGTTTGATAATGGCGGGGTGATTTATGCGTATCGTGTCTACAACCTACGATCTCATATTCCAATGTCGAAACGAATTCATGGTATTTTTGGATATTAAAGATATTTTTTCAGTACTTCTGGATATTTTTATTTGATACTTGTATTGACTGTATCAGAATATCGTTGTTGTGAGCACTGTGTTTTTCTACTTTAAGAAATATACTAACACTATGGAGATAAACACAAGTTTTGTTCATAATTACAAAATAGTCCATCTAGTACTTCATTTAGAACTGGCAACATGAGTGGTTTCGAAATAGACATTTCCATTTTTTCGACTATTATGAGATAGAATAAAAAGGAAATGAGATGAAATAGATTTCATTGTTCTCAATCGTTTTGCGGATATTAAATCTAGATAGAAAACTCTCAATATAATATTTTCAATTCAAACAATCTCAAAGCAATTTATTTCAAGTGGACTTAAAGATATTACTAGCTAGTGCACTTTTCACTTAGTGACGTACACACGAAGAAAAGTGCGTGGAAAGAATTTTATACAAAAATTTTTTATGACGTTTTCACAATGTCACATTTTATTGAAATCGAATCTCTAATTTATCAGAGGAACGATATTTCAATATGAATTTAAGAAACATACATTTCATTTAAAATTTTTTATGCGTTGCGTTTTATGAAATCTGATTTCACATGTGTGTTTATAACGTGAAAGAAAATTTGCACATTGAATTTCATATCGTATTTATAACTAACAAAGGGTAGTTAATAAAGTGCTGTAGTTATTTATATCAGACGCACGTCCGGGCTTGTTACAGGTAGATAATGCTCATTTAATACGATCACTCCATTCCGCTCTGTTGAACATGTCGGAAACAACACCGCTGTTCGCGACTGTACCTCGCTGATACGTATTATCATCGAGTAGACTTTACGACAAAAAGGACAATTTTAAAAAAGGATTTATGTAAATGATTCTACTGAATTGTTATTACGCCTTTAAAAGGGTGATGATGTAATATAATTGATTTACCCACACCACAATTGATCAGACACATTGAGTTACAGTTGGTAGTAAAAGTCAATAGAATACGTAGAATTCTAGATCAACAAGAGGATGCAACGAACATAAGTAGATCTGCTGCAGCATAAGTCAACAAAGCTGGACAAAGAGGCAGCAAAGACTGTTAAAGGGGTTTCAAGGGTGGGAGCGGGCCCTTTGACTAAACTATAGCAGAACTATTTTGCGATTGTCAATTCTTTCGCGTCAAAGTCAACTGTTTAATTGCATACCAAAATCAAGTAGTGTGTGCACCTCCATATAAGCTCATAGGAATCAAATCGAGACTACAGTTGTGCGATAGTCTAGATTCAGATAGGCGCACGATCTTAAGGGTATAATTTGCTTAGTGGCTGAGGTAGTGGTGATTCATAAATCATTTACGGGGAATTAATACTGGAAATTTACCTAATATCCGTGAAAAGTATTTTTTACTCGTTGGCCTTATTTGGCTAAAAACCAATGTAGTGAATTTTCCTGATGGATTCAAATAAAACAAACATTTAAGGATACTACTAATGACATATATTTAAAACTACGAAATCAACTTCTAATATTATTACATTCTTATTCTTTTGGTGCCGTCTCCTAACGAAGATTGGCAATCATTACAGCGACTTGAAGTTTGGACACAACAGCTCTAAATATAGTACGCGTACTTTTATCGTCATCAAAATTATTACATTACGAGTATGTTACTTGTTGTCGATTATTTTGGTAACTTTTGCATTAACATAATTTTTACTGTCTCGTATGTCAACTGAATTACGTGAAAGAAATGATGTGTATTGAAAATCTGTTTCAAAAAAATGTTTTCTACGTTGAAGAGGTAACAAATCATAAACTGGCTCCACGGTAACGGCAGTTCCTTCTGGAGATGACACATCATTCTTTTCTTCTTTAACTTTTCTTACATCATCATTATTCATTTCTAATTTAAAATGTCCGTCTGTTTTATCAATATGTGATTCTTTGTTATTTATTTCATTACTATCCAAACTTTTAACTTCTTCGGTGGCTATTGTAGGCTCGTTTTCGTTAACCAATTCTGGTAATGATTTTATTGATCCATTATTGAAGTTTTCGGAACTTCCAACCGCTGAGATTGGATTTTTATCTGCCGTTTTTTCTTTTAATTCTTCTAATACATTCGGCAATAAAATCGCCTGAGTTAACTTATTTTTATTGTGATGTCCTTTTTCATCAATTTTTGATTCATTAGAATTGTCTACCGGTGTGACGGTTTCCAATTTCATCACTTCATCCTCATTTTGATTAGTAACGTTGATCGTAATTTCATTCATATCAATAAGTACAGTATCATCATTACTATCCCGTTGTGACGACGATGCACTATTATTAAGAATGGATTGACTGTCTTCTTTACTTGACTTTGAAAATTCCCCTAAGCCACTTTTAATTTTGAATTGTTCTATAACAGTTGAGAAACGGTGCAATGTACGATGCGGCAAATGTGGTTTCTTAACAATTTTCGGTTTCGTATCAAGATTTATTTCCTTTAGATTTGGCTCGATATTCATGTTTTCGTTGCTCGCATTGTTTGGTTTTAAAGTTACTGTTTCTTCCTTTCTTTGAATATTTTCTTGGTTTGGTTGCGTTGGTTTGTTAGAGCTATCGTTTGTTAGATATTTGTCTATTTTGATAGTGTTACAAGTAGATGGATTTCGTAGTATACTACATTTGTACTTTTTCTTAAGTCGATATATGTAGAAAATTAAATAGACAACTATAACATTGTTAAGTATAAGTATGCATCCACATAAATATAGCAGTAATTCCTCAGATAAATTCATTCTTTCTTTCAATTTCACAGACTTACGAAAATTATTTGATTAATCGTTCATTTCGTAGGTAAACTAAGGAGCGGGATTTTGTTGACCTAAAATAAATAAAACGCAGAGTATTAATCTAGGATAAAAGGCAAATTTTACATTTTGAAATCATTTGATAATTTAGACGCAGATGAATAGTTAAAATGGTCTATGTTTAGAGAATCAAAGAAATAAAAGGCTTGCGCCGATTCGTGGGCTTTAACGAAGAAGATACTAAATTTACTTAAATTCACAATGGCATAGCTCCAGAGGACTAACTAATTAAGTTGACTAATGGCATATTAATTTACGATTTCTTTATTAAAGAAAAGTCGATGTTTTCTAGGAAAATATCGACGTTTGTGAAATAATGTAAATGTTTACTTAAGACGATAGAAATGGATTAGAAGATTATTTCGTAATTCATTCGCTCGATGAATCACAAAAGCATAAATAAATTCACAGTTATGTTAGTGTTATATACTTTATTACATTAAAAGATATATTTACCTTATTGGTCCTTTCCTGCTGTCATATAAAAGTGTTATTTAATCTGATTTTTATTTTTTACAAGATTTTGATTAGTGGCTTTTGGTATATTAATTTCTCAGCATTGTATAAACCATCATGACTAATCAGCGATAAGACGGTAAGTCATTATGCATCAAAATATTACATGTATTTTCTATATCTGTGTGAGTAAATCTGAAATAACATTATTAATAAGTAACAGAAAATAACTGACTAATCATATCTTATTGGTGCACTTGTCATTTTAGCTAACAAACAAAATTTGCACTTACTTTAAAAACTTGACAGTAGTTTATATTTTGAATTTAAACACAATTTTATAACACGAACTCACTGCACCAAGTATTTAATAAAATTAACCATTTACCGTTTAGATTAGTCACCAGGAATGGAAAATCCAATATAAATAACATCATTTACCGTTTTCTCTTTACCGTGTTAGTGTCAATACATGCAATACTGACAAATTAAATTGTTTAAACTTTCGTTAGATATAATTGGACCTAAATAAAAAAAACATACAGACGAATTGAGTCGTTGACCACCTCTGTGTTCCCGCCGCTCGTTTGCCTCCTTCTCTTATAAAAAAAAAACACCTCCTTATGAAAGTCGATATAAAGGCTACACTCACGTTCACATTAGGAGGCGCCGACTAGCTTCGAGCCCATCAGTCTCTTCTTCAGAGTATGTGGGCCTGATGGGCTTTCAACTAATCGATGCTGACACTGGTTTAAGCGAGGGCGAATCCAGCTTTGGCGCTGGGGGGGAAGGGGGGGTGTCACGTAGTCGTGGTCAAGTCAAGAACTTGACAAAATATGTAAATATGAACTACCGGAATAATGCATGCAGAAATTTATTGCTGAAGAAAGTAGCTTGTGTGCCAAGAACTTGTAGATTGTAAATCCTTAATCTATAATTTCTTAGCTTGTCTTCTTGCATTGTTGAAATACATTTATATACATTAATATGTTTTTTTTTTAGTTTTGTCTATTATTATCTTATCCTATCCTTGTGTTTGAAGAGCGTCGGCACAATAAGTGTTACCATTCTATGCATATCAGCCGTCATATGCTTCTTACGTCATCAAATCATCGGCATCGTATCTTTCATCCTTTCCATTCTACCATTTCGTCATATTCTCTTTCATAATAATCCAAGTATACTTTCGCTCCTTACCATTTGTACAAGGAATTTAGAATCCATTCTTTAACACAATTCTGCATTTATTCAAATAAATGAAAATAAAAATTCATAGTAGTATTGTATCAACATGGCCTTTTATTTTAAAACCAATCTAAAAGTTTTTTTTAGTTTCCCGAATACTGTCTCTCTGAATACATTCAAAACTATCAATTTGATATAGAAATAAAATACCAGCATACGCTTTGTATTCTAACAATAAAATCATAACAAAATTATGACATATGTGACAAATTTTACTGTGTTAAAAACTCGCGGTTATATTTCTTTGTCGGAAAAAACTTTAATATCCTCATCAACTTCATTATCTTTGACTAAAAAGGGACAACAATCTATACAAATAGATTTGTATTTTTGTAAGTACTGAAATAACTAAAAAACTACTGGATTGATTTTAAAATTATTTCACCATTAAAACCCTACGTTACAAAAGTAAAATTGTTAAGATAAGTTTGTGTAATATCTCATTTCAATCGAATTCGCTCATATGTAATTTTATGGAATGCAATTTGAAATGTTAAAATTTTAAAAAAAGGTTAAGGTAAACCAATGTGACAAACAACAGCAATAAAAAGAAAGTGTCAGCAAGAATATTTTGAAACATTTTACCGCTTTTCAGCATCAACTAGCTAAGAGAGTTGACATTAAAATTCTGCACACGCTTTGGTCGTGGAAAGTTGTATTATATTTTCTGGTAACGTCCAATGTTCGTGAAAGTTCTCAAATGGCTTCCTCTTATGTCAAAAAGTATCAAAGTTTAAAACTACAATAAACAATGTGTTTCAAAACGTTTTCTATATAAATAAGGCAAATTTTAAAAAAAAGTCAAAAGATGATAAATTTTAAACGATTTCTTGTATATTTTAGATAACTTAATATTATAAAGAAGAAAGATTTATATATTTACATTTTTGTATACATTTAAATAACTCCCAAATTACAAAGGCGATTTAAAAAAATCGTTCACCATTTAAAAGCTACATTACCCATTGGTAACATTTTTTAATTTCACACGGGCGAAGTCGCGAACAATCTGTAATCAGGTTGGAGATTACACTTTGCTGGTTTAACGAAATCAGGTGACCAATTATAATATACCCTAGTGTAAAATCCGTGTATGTCGGCCCTTACTCGTGGCGATTACTCTAAATTAATAAACAAGCACTGATGCAGTAGAGTGAACTAATAGATGCAATTCTATTTCGAACGTTGTAATATTATCCGACACTGAGCAGATGGCCGGATTAAATAAACACATTTAATTTTAATTGCAAATTCGTATACACTATATGGTTATTTCACAAACAAGGTAATAAAGGTTCTCGTATGTTATTGGAGTAAAAGTACTTGGGATGATACTCCAATTAATTGGATGCTTTAAAAACCTTGAAGGTCTTAACGTCGACTTCGTCCAATTTTATAATCCAAGCTGACATTTTTATCTCAAAATCTGTAGAGAAATTCCAAAAATGTCTTTTGTACAGATTTCAATTTGTCCTTTTGTTCTATTAACTAGCTGTTCCCGTGCGGCTCCATCCGTATGAAATTATGAAAATCTTATTTTATTGTTTACATTTGTCAAATTATCATTAGCAAATGTCAAAATGACATGACATGACATGACAAACCGTAGCAATCTTTCTTTCTTGATGTTAGCAGCAACTTACTTTCTCTTTCCCACATTAGGGTTTTTATCCAAAATATTTACCCCCTAAGTTTAATGGCGTGAAAATATATAGCCTAAAGCATGACGTGTTGGGCTTTTTATTAAAATAATATTTATTCATAAATATGCTGTAATCGCTGACATCTTAGGCAACAAAGAAGTGTGTGTTTACGCTTTATTATAATAGTATAGATTACTTTCTTCTGTTTTAATAAGTGACAGAATCCAATATAAAAAGGTTATCACATTGTAACACATATAAAGATCATAAAAGCTGCCGTTTTTACTGCTCACATAAACACCAATCTATTTCTTGTTCGTTTACGTCATTTAATCGTTGAATAGTTTCATACGTTTAACGGATATTTCGTTTTCATTCATAAATAATTTTATGAAGAATAGTCGTACATTTTTATTCACAACAAAAGAAAAGACGATATCAGTATTAACCTACGTCTCTACTAACATGTCCTCTTGGTTAAGTCTTAACTAAAGATATTTCGTCTTCGTCTCTTTACTTAAGATATTAGGAATGACTTCTTATAAATAAACTCTAGTCCGAAGTGAAGGAATCTTTACAACTTCAAATCAATTTACAATCGCTGCAATTGATTCAAGAGAAACCTCTAGAAAATTTATTGAACATTGTAAGCAATTTACTAACGCGTTTGGTGACGTCTGGCAAATACCCGTGTAATAATAAAAATCTATTGCTATTTCTCCCTTTAGTGTTGTAACGATCAACAATGCTTTTACGTACATTTATTTTCTATAAGGACGAATGGTCTTCGTAAAAAGATTCGGGCATTCCGCCAAATATAAAAGTGAACACTTCGTGATAAGATTATATGAACTCTTTAAAGTAGTATGTAGTTTGTGGATTCTAAGTCAATAAAATATAACGATGTTATCATTTTCTGTTCTTTAAATCTATAATATTTTATTTATCGATAACTAGCTGTTGCCCGCGACGTCGTCCGCGTGGTATTAGAAAACATACGAACTATATAAATAACAAAAATCTACGTATCCTTCGGGAACCGAACATTTCTCGGGGATGAACCTTATCCCATGTGTACTCCAGACTTTGTTTTATATCTGTACCAAATTTCAATAAGATATGTTGAACAGTTGCACAATGATTAAGTAACCATTATAAAACTAAATTAATGAATTCCACGGGAACTGTAACTATTCCCGGGATAAAAAGTAGCCTATGTGTTCTTCCAGACTATCCTCTAAACCTGTGCGAAATTTCATGAAGAACCGTTCAGCCTACGTTACTCAGCGAAAACGTAGTTTTAAATCAACCCAGTAGTTTTAGAGTTATTTCAATACATACAAAAATACAAATCTTTTCTCTTTATAATATTAGTATAGATTGGAAATTGTGTCTTTTTTTACATTTAACAAAGGATGAAGAAGGTTTGTAAATACCATCCACTTTCTTTAAAAGGGTAAATGATTTTCACAATGCCTAAAAGGAAAACTTCAAGGATACATAAATCATTCAAAAGGCTACATCTTCGTGACTTGCAGTAACATTACACTAGAAGCACACAATCGAGAAAGCGAAAAGTTATGAGTTCCCAGTCTTGCAGTCCGTCGAAAAACAAAATTCAATTTAGATACCAAACTACATTTTGTTTCTATTCAGGTTCTCTTTAACGGTTGTGTGTTACTGGCGTTTATCTTACTAATATTATAAATGCGAAAGTTTACATGGATGGATGGATGTTTGTTAAGAGTTTGTAGGCTAAACGGCTGAACGGATCTCGATGAAATTTGGTATAGATGTAGAGAATAGTCTGGAAGAACACATAGGCTGCTCACTTTTGTTTTTTTTTTTAATTTCACGCAGACGGAGTCGCGGGCGAAAGCTAGTGTTAATATACAGTAGAGTATGAAATGACTATAAAATCTATGTAACATTAAAAAGTCGCAACACGTGTTGGTCTGTCATTACACTTCTTAAGGTTACATTATTAGAACCACTCGGTTTATCTCAGTACTAAATTTCTATCTCGAGATTGATACCGCAGTAAGGGTAAAATTTGTTTAAATATAGTAGAGATTTACTAAAAGGTATTTTATAAAAGGATCTCGACGTTACAAAGATAAGTAAGGCTTAGTGCGGTGTAAAATCAGGTATAATATCCTTTTGTTATGATTTCGCATTGACTTTAACAAAGAGGATTTGTCTTGTTTACTTAAAGGTACTTAATGGTGAGTTATATTAATGATATTTACAATTAGTATACATTTATAGATATATATATATA